TGCTGTTTTCAGTCAATGAATTTGATTTAGGGACTTATTTCCACTGTGATTAAAATTTATTTCTGACTCTTTCCAGACTACTCTGCTTTAATATTTTGTTCTATAGCACCTGCCAATGCAACTATTTATTGCACTGTTCCCTTCTCAACTAATTATCCTAGTAACTTGAAATGTTTTCCTACTTGCTTGTCATCAGGCTTAAATCAAACTTTACCTTTGTCATTCTGTCAGAAAAGTAATGTTTGCATAGTTAATTGTGAAAAAAATGGAATAAGAACATCAATGCCTTCAATTAATGAAAAGATATAATCAGGGCAAATCACCAAAAAGAGTTCTGTAAATTATGACATCTGTGTAACATACTGATGGGCAGCAAGAATATAATTAGTTAAGTTTCCTTTTATGGTAAGATTTAAAAAATAGTAATTTGAAAGTGTTCAATCTTAAGATTTCTTACTCGGGAACATGTATTTTCAATATTCACATTTTAATTCAGCGTTATTGCTTAACTCACTCAGTAGTAAGCTCTGACACTTCAGAAAATATGATGACGTCAGATCTCCAGAACTGGTCATTCCCTCACAGGCCACAGATGTGCTATGGAAAAAACCCTAATTTTGCTAGTTGGCTTATCTAGAGATGCTAATGATGTATATTTGGTTTAAAGAGGCATTATTAAACCTGAAAGATTCTTAAAGCTTGTTCCTATCTTCAAACTGTCTTTTCGCAAAACCTTTCAGGATGTACTATCAGAAGTCTAGTTTTGAGGATGTCATTTGTAACATCATCCCTTTATGCAACAAGCTATGCTTTCTGCTCGGCCATGCCACCTCCCTGCACTGGCAATGCTCTGGATGGGGCTCTGAGTCTATCAGGGGCTGGCAGTAACAGCAGACAAGTGGCTCCAGGTCCAAGCACCAGCTCATGCTGCAGGCCAGGGGGGTAAAACCTCCTTCCTATGCAATGAGACCTGGCTGGCAGTAGACCTTGGGCAGTAGACCTTGTGCAGGTTGCCATCATAGTCATTGAGGCTTCCCAAGCCCCTGCTGACCCTTTTAGTGGTGTCCATATACTGACAAGGTATATTTTCACCTAGAAGTGCTCACCGTGATGCTTCTGAAATGTCAAAGCTATTAAAAGAACAGAAAAGGTTTGTTTTAAACTAGTCATATAGTGAATAGATGTTTCTTATGTTTCAGATGCTGTCTAAAATGCCTAAAAGTTTCAGGCCTTTTCATCTTTGTAGTTGTCTGCTCTGTAAGTATTGAATTAACTACCTACTCCCCATCGCAATTCCTTAGATTTAGTTCAAAATGAAGTGTGATATTTGATCTTAGCTAATAAAAAAAAGTCCTGAGGGTGGGGACAAGACAGTGCAAGGCAGCGAAAAGTGAAAATTATGTGCAGGGCCTTATGCCTAAACAGACTGTTGTTTGATGCACTAGCCACAGCCCTGGACAATGTTGTAGGGTAGGCAGTTGAGTTTGAGGAGGCAGATTAAACTCAGATTTGTATGTCCTTAATGGTTGTTGTTGAATTTAGAATGAATCTTTAGATACTGGCTAACACCTGGGAAATGTTCATAGGGAAAACTGTGCTGGAAAGGATGCACCAGCAATCATAGTGCTCCATGGTATGAAATGCAGAAGGCCATGAGGAGGTAGGCAGCTCCCTACAAGGGTTGACAGCGTGCCAAAGTGCACTACTACCAAAATCTTCAAAATCAGCGAAATCTTAGACTGAAAGACTCGAGAAACTTTTCAAAAAGTTGAAGTTTATCCTTTTAGCTGCTGTGGGGAACCCTTTTTTGGCTAGTGGGGCTTCTGTGACAAAGACAAAACAGGTGACACTCTGTATGTCCTAAGATGTGGATGTTGCTTTCCAGATAGATCCTTAAGATTGCAACTTTGTCCTAAGAGACATTTGACTAAAATACATCGAATATGTGACTTTGACAGTAAGGTTATGGAAGGAATATTAGTAATCTTTGTTAAGAATCCCAGGGCTGCTTTTCAGCTGTGTTGGAAACATGCTTGAAAATACTGAAAGCAATCTTACGATTTAATGTACAGTCTGAAGGTGTCTTATTTGAGTAAGTATTTGAGATAGGCTTGGCAGATACTTTTCAGTTTTTGTGTTATTAACAAATATTTGGTTTTCATCTTTGCCCTAGATTTTATTTGGCATTTATCCAGATCAAGGTGTGCCATGGCAGATGTTGGCTGTGTCTCCTCTGGAAAGCTTCTGTATCCTTCTTTCATTGAAAAAAACCCATGGAACTGAAGTTTCATTGATAAACCGGTTGAATGGGTGGGTGTTTTCTGTCTATTATCCTGAGAGGATTTGGTGTCCTCAGAACCTGGGCTGCATGTAGACATGCCTGGTGCATCTGTCTGGGCCACCTTGTGGCATTCATCCAGTCCTTGTGTCCAGTCTCTGCAGGAAACCAAGAGTGTGAACGTGAGTTGTGGAGCTAGTAGGATGCTCAAACATGCACCTGGCTGCAGTAACTGCACCCCAGGCTAGTTGTATACTGTCATCTATAACATATCTGTGATATTTGTAATGTATACTTGAACCATGATGCTACACAGTAAACTCCTTCAAAAGCAGGAAGTGAGATGGTTCACGGATATGTTTCCAGAACAGCGTAGCCCAGCTGTATGTATGGCTTTGAGTATCTGTAAATATTTTTCAGTGGAGGTGCAGGTTCCTTTATGAATTTTCCATGCAAAATTGCTCAATAGTGAGTTTGAGAAACTGTTAAAAAGAACAAGCAATAGAATAACTCAAAATAAAAATGATTCATCATAGGTGAATGCAGACCTAAATGGGAAAAGTCTTTGAGATGAGCATTCAGTAAGTAAACAAACAAAAACTTTTGTAAATAAATTACATCTTTTGTTCCCACTATATTTCCAATTTAATCAGCCTTTTCCACAGCCTGCTTCCCTCTTATATCACTAGTTTTAGAAGATGACTTATCTATAAATGTATTTCACAAGCTCCCGGCAGGTCTTGTTTTGAAAGGGTGCAGTAGGATTTAATTTTTGAAATGCTGATATCTTTTTTTTTTTAACTGGGCAGTTCCATAGCTTTGATGAGGTAGAATCCAGTTTAAATAGATATGATTATTAGTTTTCTTACTGTTGCCAATAATGACAAAATATAACACAACAATTAATAGGGTAAATGAGGAATAAAAGCTTAGTGCTTGAGGAACATTTCTAATTAAAATTTGAGATTGCTTTCTGGAGGAAAGCAAGTGAACATTTAGTAGGACCAGTGACAATTTCAACTGTAAGCTCCCATCAGTATCCTGTTCACATCAATATTTTTGTCCTTCTTGAAACCGTTGTTAAAAGCTCCTATATGAGTGGTCTCAAACAGCACCAGGGCAGACATGATGCAGTCTGCCAAAGGAAGGTGTATTGGCTGCTCTTTGAGTCTTTGAGTTTAAGTTTTAGTCAACTGTCATAAAGTACCTTGTGGATTTGCTCTATTTCCACACATTTTGAGTTAGAACCATAGCAGTTGCATTGTACACATTGACTCTGCAAACAGTCCTTTTGCTTGTTTCAGGGAAATACTGGTGAGGCTGGGATTTGAGTACAAACAAGTGTTCTTGTATTTCACATTTTACCTCTCATGTCAGGATGCTTTGAGCCAAACAGCTGTCAGGCAGTCAGAATATAGCATTCCTCTTTCTTACTTGATAAACCTGGAGCTGAAGCTTCTTAGTTTGTGTCATGTGTGTTGAAAACTCAATGTTCTGTCCCAGTATTCCTACCTGAGGTCACTGAGCTGAGGAAAAAATATGTGAGAGCAAGCAATCCAGCAAAGCCCTGCTTATTTTCAAGGTGATGTTATAATTCAAGCAGAAAGGTAAAGGAGAAATATTGCATTTCTAAATGAATTTTGGAAAAGACACAATTCTGAAAATCATCTAACTGTTGCTGCCAGTCTTCGTCTGTGCAGAAGTAAACTCACACGGTTGTCTTCCACTTTGTTGCACAGTGAAAAAAGTATTCACTTTTTTGCTAGACTTGGATGATGCTAACCATACACACAACAGTGCTGAAGATGTGATTTATGCTGGCAGACTGACTGTAGGGTTCCCAGTGGATGTTAGGCGCTACTCTCTGAGCGTCTACAAGAATTTCATGGTAGGCTGACAAGTGTGGTGCAGTAGTCCTTGTCACAAAATCATTAGAGGTTAGAGTATGAGACTGCTTTGGGTGGAAAATAAGTCCATTAGCTCATATGATGCCAAATTATTCAAATTAACACTCTTTGCCTCTTGCTTATGCCTCAACAGCTCCTAAGAATTGTTGAATGAGTACTAACCGCTATATATATATTTTTTAAATTCTTTCCTCTCATTTCTATTTCTTTCCAGAAATTTCTGTGCACATGATGTGGTTGTTATGGATGTATGCTCATGCATACAGTGTGTCTGCATGCACTAGAAAAACCAAAACAAAGTGAAATATTTTTAAAAACCAAATGGAGTTTTTTTTCTCTCATGCTCTCAGGCTTTCTCAGAGGCAGACTTTCTGTCTCTGGTGCTGGAAGAGACTTGCATCAGCTGGCAGAGTGACCTGCTTTTCATATAACATCTCTTTAGCACTTTTCCACTTGCTCTAAGTCCCATTTGTTTATGTTTCTGTACTTTTATCTCTTATTTGGATTTACTCCAGTTGTTTTTCTTACTACTATCTTCTTTTTTATTGGCCCACTTGTGTCTCTCTTGCTTTTCCTATCTCTATGAATACAAACCCTGCATGTAGCACTGAGGTGTGTTGGCTGCAGCTTCTGAAAACATCATCTTGCCTCCTGTGAATTAGTAAAAGCTTTTTGATTCTGTAAAGTTGTGGGGATTTTTTGTTACTGATTTCCTGATCAGCACCAGACACAAATTCAGTGGATTTAGTACAGTTTTTCAAAATAGTGGTAATATTGTTCCTTTTTGAATAACATTTGGGATTTATTGGCTTATCGTAACAGTCATCTCTATAGTACAAGAAAGAAGGAAGTTTATACTGAACCCTGGCTAGAGGACCTTTTTTCTACAGGAAGCAAGATTCAGTACCTTGATTGATGTAAATGTGTGAAGCATTTTCAGATCTTTTGCTCAAAGGCTGTATGTTAAGTGGGGGAGCATCAATAATTAATAAGGTGATGGGCTTTTGGAAAGTAGATTATAAAAATAGAAGAACTGATATAGAGTCTGAATAAATTCCTTAGTTTAGTTACATGTACCTTTTCTAAGACTGAGGCTCTAGACTGAGGAGACATAAGATGGGTAAATGTACTGACCTCATTATCAAATTCCTTGCCGAAGTTGCATGAGTTTGAATGATTGATGCAACTATGTTAATCATGGATCAAGAAAAGTTCACTAGGAAAACTTGTAATCATGCCACAACCCTTAGTGACACTGAAAATCACCTTTCCTACTCCCTGAACCAGAGGTATATATAGAATGGAAGTAAGGTAAAGAACATAGTCAGATTTAAGCAGACTTTTCAACTTCCATGGAGGTCCTAAAAATTGATTCTTCACCCAGGGAGCATAAACTAACTGAATGAATAACAAAACCTCTCTAATCCCTATAGATCTTTTTCACTTTTCCTTTTTTTTTAATTTTGTAATTCTAGTTCTTAACTGTCAGACACCCCTCCTCCATTTTTCCTTGCAGAAGAAATTTAAATAAACATTTATTTCTGTTGATAGTGTTGGAAGCTGACCAAGTATTTTGGCCTGCAAGCAATGTTCAGGCAGCTAAGTAGATGGATGTAGACCAGGACCACATGCAGATGCAGGGAAAGGAGCAGAATCTCAAGAATCTCTGAGAAAATGCTGTAGAAAAAAATAGTTTATTGAGGACTCATGAAACTTGTGCAACTAATGGTCCACAGAGAAAAAAGATGGATCTAATGCGGACCAAAATGGAACCAGATTCCTGACACTCCAAAAGGGAAAAATAAAATGTTATGGAGCATTCTTCAGATAGGGAGACCGATAGGTATAGAAAAGCCTATATAGAATATACTGTCCAACAACAGTATGTTGTGAAGGGATGATGTAAAAACAATCTCATAAACTACAAACAAGGATAGGACATCAGAAGAGAAAACTGCAAATAGTAATGCAGAAATAACCTCAGTTATGTAGGTTTCACAGTTTTCAACATGTGAAAATAAATGCTAAGACCCAGGCAAAATACCTTTTTTAAAATGATAATATCCTAGAGAAACTAGCATGAATGATCTGATCATAAATAAAGATCAGTAATGTAAAAACATCTTAGGAACTTGGATAATAATAAACATAGTATTCTCAAGGTATGTTTTACAGTAGGCAGAGTAGGTGATATAAGTAGATGTTAAAAAAAGCATGAAGTCAGCCATCTGGGTGCAAATATAACAGAGAATCTCTGTCAATCATCACTTTTCATCTGACTCTGTACATACTGAAGTAATGACATGATGGAGGGTAGAGCAGGGACTCAGTACTTAGAGAGTGACTCATTTCAGCTACACCTGAGTTAGTCATCCCAGTCTCTCTTCATAGTTAATAGAGAGAACTGATGTTTTTCATGAGCAATTCCTCTCATCTTTGTATGGTGGTCTAAAATGAAGCAATGAATTCCATCTTAAAAGTACCCTTTTTTCACTGATTTTAACTCGGATGCAGAAGTCCACAATACAGAAATATAAACTGTGGTGAATGAATACCAAATTAAATATTTAGCCACTGCATCCCATTCCATCATATTATTTACATAAGCTACAAAAAAGGTAAAGTGACATGAGGTGACTCTCACATACTCTTTGATACCTGCTAGGAGCTGCTAGTCAGAAAAAACAGCTCTTGGATTAGCTCTGAGCCGTGGACCCAGTCTGGTGCCAGATGTAAATACAGACAGCCACTGTGTAATGGTGCACAAAGCATACAGAAACCCAAACCCCTTGACAGAATAATTCACAGCAGTAATATTATTTCAAGAATAGAACTACATAAAAATGAGGTATCTTAGCTGAAGCGAAATAAAAAATAACAGCTCTGGCTGCAAATACTGTCAGGGACATTTTTTGCTTTAAAGGCACGTACTGAAGGCCACATTACAAAAAAAGTTCAGAAAAGACAAAAAGTTCCAGCATGGTTAAGTTGCAGAATAAAAGTGGATATTAGTATTAAGAAGATAGTTTCCCCAAAAGTTAGTTGTATCTGAATGATGAAAATATAAATGAAATCATATTCTAGCAATTTAAGGGAAATATAAAGCCAAGGTAAGGCAGAACTAAAATATTCTGAAGAGCAGCTTGATAAAAAAACCCTGTATTTTGATTCATATAAGCGTGGCTGAAGTCTTCTCCTGGTTTATTTTTATTCCACCTTTCATAAAGGCTGTGATCTGCTGCAGTATAACAATGGAATTATGACAATCTCTAAATATTTTTTGGAGAAAGATAACTCTGATGGAATTTCAGAGCCTCAATGCAGACCAGTGAATTATGTTCAGTTCCCCTTGCAGTCAAAGGAGAACCTGTTTTGCTAAGACTCTTTCTGATGGTTTTAAAAATGCATAGAAAAGACTGGAAAAACTTCTTAAGTATCCTCATCTTTGTAGGAAAAGAAGGAAAGAACCACTCTTCTTGAAAAAAGTTTTCATTTTCTCCGCTTTAATTTTAAGCATCCTTTATAATAGCTCCTGAATGTGTCATCTAGGTAATTACAGGATTTATTTTAAAAATATTGCTTAAAAGGAAGCTGCCATAATTATATGCACCTGAAGCTTTCTTAGACATAAATTACTGGCTATACTCCTAATAAAAGGCAGACTGTCAAGAGGTGTCCCAAATCATTGGGTTAATGACTTCAGGTCAGCAGGCCTTTTAGAAGGTATAATTAATGTCTCTAGTTAAAAGTATAGCTATAGTTCCAGTTGAGATTAATATTATGTATTAATTAGGACACGGAAAAACTGTGATGCCAAATCACACTTAAAAAACTTCAGAACCAGAAGAAAACCATTGTAATTTGTATTTATGCTTGCTAAGGGCTGTGTGTGTAAATTCTCTTGACTGGAACTGGCCTCTTGACTTGTTCCATCTATGTTTTTTTTTAATCCTTTCCTGTGCAATTCCTTTAAGTAAATAGATGTTTGGAAGGTTCATTCTCAGTGAACGGCATATGAGGTGGTGATTGCTCTGCTCGCCATGCTAAGCAGGCTGACATTTATATTACTTTGCAATGCATTAGCTACTCACCCACCACTAGAACTGCCAGGATCTTTTTTGGATTAGCGTGAGAGACGTCTTTTTTCTAGATCCAGTTTTCCTGCTGGGAATGTGGACAGAAGTAACAACTTTTTTAAGATTAACGATCCCTGCATAATGCTACAAAGCTTTCCTTCTTAGAGCCTAGTCTGCTATGGATGGCCTTACTGAGACTCAAGGGGAAGAAGGGCACAGCCCTGCATGGGGTCCTCTCTAACTATACCATATTTTTTATTCTGTTAAAATCTTTGAATTCTGTGGGCAAAGAAATGTCTTTCTGGGAAACTTGTTCTAGTATGTATATGGTCTTGTACATTTTTTTCGTAACAAATCAAGTCTTTGTAGTATGCTCAATTAAATGTCAGATGTTAAGACCATAAAACTACTCAAACGTGATCAAGTTGCATGACTTCAACAGAACATATGTGTGTAAAATCAAGTCTCTTCCTTTCCCTTCTTAAGATTTTTTTTTGATGATAATGCCTTAGCTTTCTATCTGACAGTAGCAAAACAATTACTTCATCTCTCTACCATAGTTACAAAAGTATTGTGAAGAGTTTCGAAGCATAGGCTTTCCCTCTTCCTCATGGGGACACTTCTCTCTCAACCCCGCCAGAAGTAAACTTTTCACAATACTGACCTGAAATAGTTCTAGAGGTATTTTGACTAATAGTGCTAGACTTTCAGTGAATTTGTGGATCATGGTTGACTGACTTCTTAATTATATAAGACTGTGAATGTGGTTTGAACGCAAATCATGTTAGATATCCAGAATAGGAAAAAAGTAAAAGTAGAAGAGGGGGCTAGAGGAGAAAGAGACCATGAATAGTCCAAACAAGAGGAGCTTGAAAATGTGTCTTTCAGATATTTGAAAACTTCTGAGTGAAATTTTTCACCAAAAAAGCAAATTCCCTAGCATGAATAGGACACTGATTCTGATTTAGATTTCCCCATGGTTGGTGCTTCCACAATGTTTTCCCTAGTACAGGTTTCGTGATGTTTAAATTGCTGAGCAATTTCATTTCATCTAGTACAGGCACTTTAAGAGCCTTACTTCTCTATCTCCATATGCTATTTTAGAGCCTTCATACATCTACAGTGTCAGCTGAAAGTGCTAGTGATCTCAAGTCGCTTGGAAAGGACAGATGTGTTCATGCTGAACCCATAATTCCTGTTTCCTTAGGAAAAATCTATTTTGTTATTTTCATAGTTTCTTAAGCATTTTAGATGAAGAATATGGTTTTCAATGTAAGTTGGATAATCTATTTTGTTTTCTGGAATTTGTACAGGATCTACTAATTTTTACGGGAAATTTATGCCTTAACAACTTCATTAACAGCTATGAATCTGACTGATTTTCATGATTCTGCTCTGTTGAAGTTAGACATAGGAGGTCCATTTGTAGCAGATGTAGTCGATCATCAAACAGATGAATATATTGTAGTACAAATCAGCCAGAATGAAGATGCTGGATCAAGAAGGAGACGCCAGCAGCAGGTGATGGTTCTTAAATTTTCTTTCACTTTTTCTAAGATGTGTTTTATCACTTACATTTCCATCACCTTTGTCTGGGTTAAGTGGCCATGCTTTTCCCTACTGTGAAATGTGTCAAGGTCAGCATTAGAAAACTTACTGTAATAAGAGTTAAGATACATTTTCTTTTGTCTTTGTAAGACTTTCTTCAGCTTTCTATACTAAAATTTTGTAAAACTTATGCCCCTTGACTGACACTTAACATGAAATTTCTTGTGTTTAAAATAGGAAACATTTCAAAAGTCTTAGAAGGAAGAAACAAGTGTAAAGTGCCTTTTTGCACTCACTGAAATACATTTTCACATTTTGTTGCAAATTATTTTCTCAAAACATGTGTCACATTTATTGACTTTATTTCTCTTAAGGCTTTCTCATTGTTGATGTTGTTTGTAACAAGTTCCTGCTGCTCTCTTCCAGAGAACTCGGTGAAGAAGGATTTTTACAGCCTGCCATTTTATATCACTGAAAAATAAAAATAAGCTTCATCATGTAATAAATAGCATTGACATACAAACAATGGCTTCTGATTCTGTATGCATGACAGGATAGCCTGTCTCTACCAGTGACAGCACAGATAAACTATGCCAACCGCGCTCCCGCTTACACCCAGTTTCACAGTCTACAGCAAAAGTTTGTCCCTCTACCTCAGTATGGCAAATAGTACTATAATGGCAGTTAATATCTTAAACCACCCATCCCTATGACAAGGAGGCTGCTGTAACCTGTGCTGCTGGCAGTGATCCCCAAGGAGCCTTCATGTTGCTGTGGGGTAGCCAGTGCACAGTTGGCTGTAGCAACCCACCTCAGCTGGTGCACCAGCAGCGATCCTGACATGACCAAAAGAGTAGACAAATAAAAAAACCCTTCCCTGCCTGCATGCATTTCAAGCATTTTTCTGTGTCAGGTGTTCCAAAATGGCTGATTAAAGTGTTTTTTTCTGCACTTTGTAGTGTACAGGGTCAGGACAGGCTCAGGATTTAGGGTACAATTAACCAAATGTATAAGTTTTAAAAGTTCCTTTTCTTTAAAAGATAGAATATCTGTATCTACATTTAAAGAGTATAATTAGCTAAATTTGCATGAATATCAGTGTGTAGTAATGGGCAAAGTTTCAGAAAGAGTTTATTTTCTGAAGATTTTTTGTTTCTTTTTGATAGTATATCAGCAATCAGGAATTCTGTTTACTGGAATTCCACCATGTCCTCTTCAAAATGTCTGGGGGTATGACCTTGCTCCTGGGCCTCTCATCATCTGTACCTCATGTGTGTTAGCTTTTTCCCAGGCAGTCTTTGGGAGTGAAACATACAATTGTCTAGAAGCGCAGCTGCCCTAGATGCTCCTTATAGTCAATGTAGAAATTGTGATTTGACATCAGAGCTCTGGAGCAGCTCTTGCAGGTGTCTCTCACTTCATTGACTGAGCGATGGGGGTGAGGATGAGTTTGCTCCAATGCAAACACCCATACATACCTAATCAGGTGGAATTAATTTATTATGCCCTGTCCACAAAAAATTCTCCTAAATGCACAGGAGAGAACAGAGAGGGATAAAACTCTAGATCAAAGACATATCACTTTCACTGACTTTTATTAATATGTGACTTTCTTGCAGGTGGTATACAACTGGTCTCTACCCTTAAGTTCAAGAAGAAATCACCAAATCATCAGAACTAGAACCTTTCAGATACCAAACAGGTCAGTTAAGAGGCCAAGAAATTATTTGTTGAATTAGTAGTTTACATAGACTTGACTACAAAGGAAGAGATAATGTTTTAAAAATAATCTATCACTGCCTGTTTCAGAGAGGGAGGCAAGGATGACTTCGTGTTGCCTTTTAAATGGATTTACAAGGCTGGTTTTTACTTGAGTTACTTTCCAAACAATGTTACTTAGAGGAATAGAGTGAAAATGTTTGAAAAGTTGCTTGCAATTGTAAAGATATAACACATATGTATGTAGATACTCAATATTACAATTAATGCATAAATATAACTAATGATATTTAATTCCAGAAATAAGCAAAACTTCTCTTTCTTTCACCAGAGGCACCATCTTCATAAACATTCAAGCTTTTCTAAGGGAGTCTGGAAGTGTTCCTCTCTCCATGAAGCATCAATACCTCCATGCAACTATAGAGGCACAAGTAACAGTTGCATCCATCATCTTAGTAGGTGTCTATGTGCTGATCATACTGGAAGTAAGTCACGGGGTTTTTTTTAATTTTATTTTTATCCTAAATTATAAATGGAGCATAAGAAAGGGTTCCATTCTTGGGCTTTAATATACTTTCAAAATGTGTATATGAATCCTTGCTGTGCTATCAGTATAGCTAATGGCATGAATAAGATATTGGCAAAGAAATTGTTCTGAATTGTAACAGATTTTGGCAAGTTATGTTAACATTACAGTCATCTTGTGTATTTTTCTATTAAGACCTATATTTAATACTTAATATTTTTAACAGGATTATAGTTTGACTGTGAGAGTGAAAATAAGTCTGGATTATATAAAGTGCTGAAAATCTGTTTGAAGATAATTGGTTTTTAAGTTAAGGTAAAAAGAAAAAAAAGCTTTGGTTATTTCCTTCTCTAAGGCACACCAAACTATGAATTTAGTGTACTTTTAAAATGAGTGACATTTTGAAACTCTTCTACTGTAATATTTAAAGATGAAATGGAGTCTGAGTTAACATGAAGAAGTCAAGGGACAGGGAACTTTAAACGTATATTGCAACTTCATTCCAAAGCCTTGAGGAGCCAAACCAAATGAAAATGTATTGCATCAGCACTAAGGATGGAAAACATGTCCAAAACAGCGCAGGTCTCCAACTGACTTCTTTAAGCTGAAAACACTGTCTGATTGAAATAAAAGAATAAATTGAAATAAAGAATAGATATGGAGGGAACTTTTTTTTTTAAATTCATGAGATCATCCACACTGTCAATGAATTCTCCAAATTGTTTTGCACCTGATTTATACTAGCTTGAAACAGAGCAGTGAATCAAATCAAGTCTACAAGGTGCTTCATGGTAAATATGTCCAGCATGCTCACTTTTCTTCCACATCCTTTGCATATTTTAAGCTTTCCATCCTGTTACCCATTGAAATGATAAGATAGTTGAACATCTTCTAATCAAGTATCAGCAATGGGCACACGCAACACAACATGACTGATGCTTTAGACATTTAGATTATGAAGCTAAAAAGGCCTCTATGTACTTCATAAATAAAGAAAGAGTCACAATTTTAAGTGTGGTGGGGAACTGAGCTAGATTCTACTATAAATATATGTAGGTATGCAAAACAACAGCAAAATAATAACACTTTAAAGTGCAGCTTTTATTTTTGAAAAAAATCCAACTATGCAGCCCTTTAGTAATTGCAAAAACATCAGATCTTCCATGTATGTAAATGGTGGTTTTGTGTTTGCATCCTGGAAAGCTGCTTTGGAACAATTTATGTGTCAAAGGAAAGAAATGCTTAAAACTGAAAAGTAAAGCCAAGGAAAGCATATGTTTTCCCATTATTTCTAAGAAAAAGCTTTAAACCAACCTATTATCTTATTATATCTTTGAAAAGATCTAGGAAAAAAAGTCTGGTGTTGGCAGAAAAATTATTTCTGCAAATTCAAGCATAGAAATAGATACTTACACACACACTTTTTAGAATTTTAAAATTTGGAAAGTCATGTAACTTAACAACATAACACCATGATATTAGCTGTTTTCTCCATAACATCTGTAGGAATGACAAATGCTACAACTGGAGTAAACTTTAAATTATAAATATATAACCTGGCATTAACTATAATAAAAGCAAAAATTGACTGGTTTTTTGTTCTCTCATAGATCTCTTGCAAGTGATGAACATTAATATTGCTAGAATAGGTAATAGTGGCTTAACTTATATTCAGTATTTATAACTTTAGTGCCCAAAGTCCCGCTTTTTCAACACGTTGTACTCTCTATTCCATTAAAAGGTAATAGCTGTTAAGAAATCAATTGCGGTTGCTGCAGGAGCAATCTCTCACAGACTTTCATTTTCAGCGTTGCTGCTTCCCGTCTTTTATCAGTCTTTATTAGTTTCCTGTGTTTTATTCATTATCATTGGCAATATAGGTTCAACTTCAGACTGTGCGGACACCCAAACAAGTTTTAGAGCTACATTTTCATGTATTTTCTTAAAATGATGGAGAAAGAGGAAGCATTTTACCTGTTAAAACTCACAAGAACCATGTGAAGGTGTGCCTTTTGCTTCTTCTGCATAGCCTTACCCCTCAAACATGACTTGTAGATCTTGTACCCACCACCTCTTCAACACCACTGTTTCCATCTTACAATCCTTCCTTCCCTTTCCCCTTGCTATTTGCTACCTTAGTCACCAGGGAGTGTGCAGAAGAACAGTCTGCAAGAGCTTCTGTCTCCTGCAGATACAGATGATGGGAAAAGCTGGTGAAGTAAGAGGTTCCAGTAGGAGAATGTAGTGTCATCTTCTCCAAACTTGCACCGCTGTAAAGACACAGGGAAAATTCTTCATTGAGAGAGCTGCTTTCCTCTATGTTGGCATCAAATTAGAGAACTCAATGTATGTCAAGTACCCATCCTTGTTGGTGGGGAAGTCTTACTGTGTCAGGATCTGCTGTTCTTCAGAAAACATGTTAAGCTGTTGAACCTCATTTCCTCAGGCATTTATTTTAAGTGTTGTTTCTTTTGAAATCGATTACATGTTATGTATTCATAAAATATAAATGTGTTTCAGGTAAAGGAAGATGCCTCTTTTTCCTCTTTAATTTCTAATATTTAATAATATATTCATATAATAATACGAATATTTTCTTACTTCACACTCCTACTCTGCCTGAAATTTTGATATATTTCTTTTAACTCTTTAGATTGACATCTCTTAGCTACATTTTCTGTTTGAAATCTGTGATTTTTGTTTTTATTTTGCCTATGTAATCATCCTTTCCTTCAGTAACTAGATATTCATTCTCTTGAAATTGTTTTTTCATCAAATATTGATCAGTTCCCTCTTTGTATTTCAGTCTTCTGTTCCCTCCTCTTCTCCCAGAGGAGAAAGGAGAAAAAAATAAAATCTGCTTCTTGTGATATTTTTGAATGAATCTAATCTATATTGTTTTATAGACTTGTTGAAAACAATGAACATTTTGTTCTTGGAAGCCTAACCTGCACAGGAAATTTAAGAAAGTGTGTGTTTAAAAAAAGTAGTATATACTTTTGTTGATCTCAGCTCTAATGTCTTATCCCTCAGGATTACTGAGGAACATAGGTAAGATGGGCTATGTTTTCAAGTCACTCTACATGGATATCTGGTGTAAAGTGCTGATGTTGCTGTACTAAATTAGTTCACAATGTATTTAAAGGTAGAGTCTTTCTAGTTTTGATCCTCAAAATGTGTAGCATCTTTTGATTAAAAATGTGAAAAAAAACTAATCTTGGAAAATTTAATTTTTACACTTTTCTGCTACAAAGATCTTTGACCTTTCAGCAAAGAGAGTGTTTTGTCTTTTGTCTTCAATTTCCATTCATTTTCCAGCAGATCTTTTTTCTATGTATATAACTGAAGTGACTGTTTACACTCCATTCAGCTCAGATTCAATAAGCAGTGGTGTGTGGTTATTTCTGGTGATATAACATAGCCAAGGAAAAGCAGTATGGATAAAATTCCATTGTTTCTCTTTTGCAATACATTAAGATATCTTTGATTTCTCCCTTTTTGCCTGTATTTGTGTACACAGAGAACGGGGTAATACACTGGTTACCCTGCAAAGAAATCTATCTGCCTTTCTATATCTTAAAATACCTGTTACTATCATAAAGTTTTATTGGTATTTAGAAAAGTTTTTGAGTTGATAAAGCTCTTATTAGCAATTATTAACTGCATATTTGCAGCTATGGTGGAGCAGCACCATCTAGAAATATGTAAGGAGTAATGTTAAATTTATTATTAGAGGATGCACCTCGTTAATTTGAATGAATTATTGTGTGCACTTCTATAACCTTTTCCTTTAATAATACATTTGTTTTATATTATGGGTTAAAACGAAGTGATAGATGTTTATGATACTTAAATGAATCAGTAGAAACAAATACGAAAGTAATGGCCTTTTTAAAACTATTTTATAAAATATTTTATTTAGTCAGAAGAAAGGGCAGAATAGCATTCATTTTATTAAATTTTTTAAAAAAGATTCTAATACATCAAATGGCAGAAAAATGACACCAGCAAGTATCAGAAATTCTGTGAGAGTCTCGACAGGACTTGTTTTTTCATAGGAGTTATCATTTAGTTTCATATCCTGTCTTGTAGGTAGCCCCAAGAAAGATCTTGCCAGGATCATTTTAATGATCTGACATCTTAAATAGCACTTAAATGTCTGTATTTCTCCTTAAAACACAAATACTTGAAAGTGCAAGATTTGACCTTAAAAGCTCTAGCTTCTTACTAGCATGAAGCATGGGCTTATAATCACAATTTTTATTACTTTAATGGAAATGGAGAGTGTCAGTTTCTCTCCATATTACTTTTCCATTATTAACTAGCTTAAATTATGAATAAACATCCCTTAAGCTTAATTTCTTTAACTGAAAGCAGAGTGACTTTTAATAGCATCTAACCAGCAGAAATTAGCTGCAGACAGCAAAACCTTTATATGGTTCACTCTGACCATTTTTCTAGTGTTGTGGGCTGGTTGCACCAATGTTTCCTCCCAGGAACCATTTTTACAAGTGAAATAAAATGTTTGTTATTACTACTGTCTACACTCACACAGTCCAGTTTTTGCTTGTTTTCAGTAATGAGGCTATTTATTTGCACATAGGAGATTATGCTTCATAGAGGGAATAGGAAAACCAAAGAAATAATCATGGGTATATGAAGCGTAATGCTAAGTGACGGCAATAGGATAAACTTAAGGGAGGGCTTTTCCAATTAAGAAAGTCACAAAAACTAGTGATCAGATTACTCAGCATGGCTTCTCACTTCCCATTCATTCTCATATTGATCTGTATTTAAATATAAGCAGAAAAGAGTGTGGATTAGGGTCCCCACCTCCACATACATCCCACCAAAAGATATGTAGCAATGGGACAGAAGAAAATCCATAGCCTTTATTGGAAAAGAGGATCTAAAAATGAAAATCGTAACTTCTGCTCTCCTTGGCCTTTGTGAGAGAAA